GAAGGACTTTCACTGCACATTCGCATAAAAAGGAGCAGTTCAGTGGCTCCCTTGTAGGGCATATGAGAAATCTGTTTAAAGCACCATCATTTCTTTTGGTGTAATCACATTTCTCGGCTACGTTCTACACTCGAAACAGTGTAGGATACGAAAAAAATCCATCTGGTAAAATTCAAGGCAGGGAGCAGGATGACACCTCGCGTTTGCTCAACAAGAGTACGAAGAATTGCTTGACCAAAGCAGAGAATTTAAACACTTCCGGCTGCTGGTCCCATATTGTTATAAAATCGTTTCTTTTTGTTTAATTGAAAGTACTAGGTTATTTAGTGGTGATTCATTCAGATTTATGCTGCCGTATCGGCGAGTACTATGGCCTGTTTGACGGCGTTGTTCATCGACATCTTCCTATCCAGACCTGTGCGATGCCTACTGGACCGCGAACAACTTCATGGCTACAAAAGGGCAATGTCGAGTTGATCAAGTATCTAACAGCTAGTCGCTGTTATATTCTTCCTTTATTTGGTCTACCGATTTGTAAAAATTTCAATAAAGATATGACCTGTTAAAATAGAATTGGCAAGAATCAGTTAGAACAATCACTAGATCGAATTCGCTGTTCAACCATTAGTGACGAGCACGAACACCATTCAGGATCTTCTGATGAATGATTCTGAAGGCGAAACGGGCGTTACATAGGGACGTCCACTAACACAGCAGCTATTTTGTGGAAAAAAGCTGCCCCTGGTTGCTCAGGCTGGCCGTTTGCTTGTGGTCGCCTCATCTAAACGCTTAGTTTACAATAAGAAAAAAAAAACGAATAAGAGCGCAAAAAATGGAAAGATACGGAAAATATCCTTCCTATTATCTTGGGATTGTCACCACCTGCATCTTTAACCACATTTCTTGCGACTAAATCCAAGGGTATGGTTTGCTTGAAAACGTGGTTTGTTCCCCACACTGGTTAATCTACTTTGTAGGCGGGAGCCCACATCTGAAAAGCTGGGATTTTGGTTCCATAGGTTCTTGATGATAAGATTTCACCGAGACTTAATACAAGGAAATTAATCCTCACCCTGAGGTAGCCATCGTTGATGAGATTGACGGGCAAGTGTCGTTGTCTCATCATTTCGAAATTTTTGTATTCATTTCGATTTTTGGCTTTGTTCAAACAGCTGTCCTATGCGAGATTCTTCGTGTCATCTCTCCCATGGAAATTCGCGCGTACCCAGACAAACAACAGCATTTTAATTGCGAGTGAAAACAAATTATTCACGGCAAATCGAATCCGTTGACAGCCAGCCGCTAATTGGGCAGATCACACGATCCCGATCGAGCAAGGAGCCTGCGGAATGACGGGGGAGGAGTTAAGACACGCGAGAACGAAGCGCAAGAGTGCGAAAGGCCCAGAAGAACGAAGAGAAAGTGGAGGCCGTGTGAGTACAAGAGTCACTCTTCATGAAGTGCTAAGACCGAAGGCCTGGCAGCAAAAAGAAACATGAAGATTTTATGAGAATTTGGGGATTAATCATAACTCTACCGTGTTCACCATGATTAACTCTACGATATCTACTCTACGATATATTACGATATCTCCAAATCCTATCAGATAAAGTCTCCAATGAATTACGCGACGTTGCTGAATGGATGGCAGTAGAAGTCAGTGATGCCGCACAGAACACTTTTTCACCATTAATAGGTTTTCCTTTCCCACAGCTTTCATCTCCAAGTTCTTCATCATTTTTTGCGTGAAACTCTCAGCTTTGGAGAGATATTGAAGGATATTTTCGTTTTTCTTGTTTTTGCTGAGCGAGCTCTTTTCAGATAACTTTTCATTGTGCAATGTTATGACGTAGTATTAGCTAAAAGTCTACATAGCAATAAAGTTTGTAATCATGTTGTACTTAGCTAGAGCAATAGTAAACGGCATTCCGGTATATTCTATACCTTACGTGAACTTACAGCATCAAATATTAGTGTTTATAAAGAGTACCTGACGATGGCACTTCATATCTCATCATGAAGAAACTGTGGTGCCATCACGGCTTCATGAAATGTTCCTAGCGCTTCTGGAGCCAGTAGTAGACCCCTAATAGCACATCAAGGACAAGCAACGGCGTCAGTGGTGAGTTTAAAGCTGTATGCTCCACTTTCAACCCAAGACGGACGTTTTGAACAAAAAATCCAGCCAACTTCGGATCTAGCTAAATGCATACTGGGCGATGCAATACAGCTAAGGTCACCCGACAGGTAGAACAGATCCATGGTCAATGGTGAAAAATCCTGTGAAGCCTCTATAGCGCTTTCTCACTTGGAACACCGATAGTTTAAAATTCTAGTAATGATAACAATAAAAAGTGATGAACGATAACCGTAATAAAAACTACGATATTAACCATAATAATTATCGTATGGTTAATAACTTTAACGAAGATACGAAGTATAAAAATTCGGTATAAAACCATTAATCCAGTCATAAGTTACTTAAGGAAAGCGTTTCAGATTCAGTTCTCTTCGAAACGTTGTGCTGTTCAAGGACAGAAATCGTTTAGCAGAAAATCATAGATCACACTTTGATTAGCAATGGCAAAGACTGTAGCTTTCCGAGGTTCTATCTTGTCCGTTCTGGATTTCCATAAATGGTTTCTAGGCCACCATACCAATTTCGATACAAATCGTTATTCGTTCAGTGGCCGGGTATCCGGTCCTACAGTAGACTTGTTTGACAGTTGAAATGTGAGTGTCAATTGAAGAGGCATTAGGTCGACTTGAGTAGAAAAAAGCTGTCTTATTTTCATGCTCTTCAATGAGCAATTATGTGATGGTGGAAGTGGTAGAGATGATACGGTTAGTGTGCTGGTTCTAATGTTAGTGCCACAAGATTGGAATAAGTTCTCCATCGAAAAACAAGACCTCTACTTACTGTCAAACATTCGGCTTCTAGGCCCATTAAATCCTAACAAAGGCTAACCTGAGCGGTTTAAATCGGATTTTGTAGATTTCAGGAATATCAGTTGAGTTTCGGATACTCTAACAGAGTTGTCAAACTTTATTTGACACTCACTCGAAGGCACAGAAGTCGGTGTCACAGTGGCTCTAACAAAGTAACCGGTGGGACGCTTTATAGGCCTCCTTTTCTTTCTGGTGGTTTATTTTGGTACACGAGAGTTTTTTTTTGTATACTTCTTGTTTTCAACAGAGGGTTGTAAGCACAAATGCTGTGTTGCGCGTTATTTAAGAAGGGCTTTATACCGCACTTAGAAATAAACAAGAACCATCTTCCAAATGAGTTCACTTGCCGGAAAATTGGGTGGTAACCGACCATTATTTCTATCCTAATTGCTATAGTGAATGACGGTTATCGCGAAGGGCGTGCGGGTATAAAAAATACTGAAACAGAGACCCATATGTTGCAAAACACCTTCAAATGATGTGTTTGGATGATGGACCATAGTAATATATGATAAACAGCACCATATAGTGCAGTAGTTAGAGATGGATGCGATACATATGGGTTCGAACTCATATCAGAAGCCCGCCGAGCTTTCCATCTCTCTGGGTCGGCAATTGGTACCAGACCTGTCTGGGAGAATAGCAGCACTGATTCGAATCGGTAGTCCACCGCGAGCCACTGTGTAGGCCAGGTATGCATTTAGTCACTCTAACATGGCCTAATGAAGCAATGAGTATCCCTCAAAGATTTATCGAGGTCGAGAACTCTACCTTTTTGCTTCTGCCCATAATAGGGCAAAGTCTTTTCTACAATCCATTTTTATTCATAACGTATAGGTTCTGCAGTTATCGTAAACTATTGTTTGTTGTCCAAAAAAAGCCAGTAAATCCGCAACGGCTGAAAATTACGCGTCGTCTAGTCCGCAACCAACCTGAGACCAGGCGTTCTGGCTATAGTGTTAAAACAATTTGTAAACGATTCAATTATTACATAGTGGTAGATGCTGAGTAAACTATAGTTTTCACATCCCTAAACTTTGAACTTCACCAGAAACAATACGATCTTATCCTTACTTCTGCTTTTACATTTCTTATTTCAACAAGTGCACTGGCGGTAGAGGATATGTTTGTTTAAAGCTGAAAGGTAGACCACCTCCCACCTTGTATAAGACATATATGTCTCATCACATTACTGGTGTGTTTTCAACTTCGAAGCTTATCCAAAGAGTTCTGACAAGAAATAAGCATTGAGCACTGTTCAGTTGTGGATGTGTTTCCGCATTTTCCACATATTTTTAAAAGTATGCCAAAAACTTAGTTCTTTATGGTTAAAATCCATGTTTATGTTTTAGCGTTGCAGTATTCACGGCTTGTAAACGGACAGTTAAGTTGTCACAAGCTTTTTCAAGTTACTGTCACAATTCACATAGATTCCCGTTCTTCGGTTAGTCACTCTGGTGTTCAACTGAAGGATTCCCAAAGAAGACAATGAGGTGCTTTTCAGAATTTTAACACCATTATTGTAAATAGCATCCGACCCCGTAAATGCAAGTAATGTAGTATCGTTCTCATTATGATTTATATAGATCATGTACAATCATCTGACAAGACAAAACTGGGCAAGACTTGGTCCACAATGCCACACATATGCAGAAAAATAGATATAAATCATCGACAAGTTTCAGAGAATAACTTACTGAAAACAACGAACACACATAGATCCGTAGACGATTGCTTTGGGGACTTGCGCGAATGAAATCCTACTGCATGGATGTTAAACAGCACAGGCATGAAGACATGCTTCACAAATCCTAAGATGGATGGTGGCTTCGCCTTGCTTTCTTAACCTATTCGGATGCACCACTGCCATCGAAGATCATTTGAAAATTATAAAGCATAGGTGGATATCACAGCACAGAAACAGGCAAACCGTAGGAAATTCCCTATAAGCTGCCATTTCAGCATTTGGTATGTTACTCAAAAATGCTTTCCTGGAACTTTTTAAAGTAGTCATTGATATCAGTTTGCCTTATTCTGTGATAAAGCCGTAACTAATAGCCATTATACCCTGAGTGGGGTAGAATATATGGTTGGTAGTACGCAGACTGGTCGTAGAATGGTTTAAGCTCGTCCGAAGAGTACTTAAGTGGGTCGTAAGTGGTGAGAGGCGTGTTTAAGGGCGGTGGCATGAGTCCAGTCGAGGGAATTGGGGCCTGTTGAGGCGCCGGTGGTAGAACTGTTGATGGGAGCGTAGATGGGCCAAGTCCTGTTGGTGGCAATCCAGCGGAAGGTAGTGTTGATGGAACGAGTCCAGTCATGTGCTGCCAGTCGCTAGTGGTACTCGACGCACCTTCTTCCGGAGGAGTAGAGTCGGCTCGGTCCTCTGATTCCCCCTCTTCGTCCGATGTTCGATCGATATTTCCCTTAGATTTCTTCTGTTTCGAACGTCGGTTTTGGAACCAAATTTTCACCTGAAATGTCAGATTCAAATGGAATGCAACGACTGAAAGTTATCGGACTTTAGATTGAAAGACGAATGCTACAAAATGTTAAGGCAAACAATGTGGTTTTAAGAAGGACTGTTCAAGTCTGAAAGCAGAACAGAAACGATCATTCTCCTTTTTCCGTTTCTTCTTCTTTTTTCAATCACATAGTGCTCTTCGTTGCAATATTGATATGAAAAGATATGAAAATGGAAAAAATTAACGAAATCACACAAGAGAAGGCCCATTTGGAGACTAATTCTTGTTCTCACAGGCTCCATCAGTGTATCAAAAAACGCTTAACAGGACAGCGAAAATCTGAATTATATGGTTACGGAGTTGAATCTACTAAAAGGAAATCTTCTTTGTATCCTCTTTTTAATTTTGCTAGAACGGTTTCACATGCTATGGCCCTCAAAAACCACTCAGCATGTCCGTGTTTTCCATTCCTCTGAATACTCTCTATATTTGATCATGTTTAATGAACTCTTCGATCGCGGAGATTTCAGCCTCTCGAATCCTCTGCCGCTCGGAATCCCGTGTTCCGCGGTGATCTGCTGTGCCTTCATCATTGCCTTTTGCGTTCATCACCACGGTCTGTGCATGTGTTTGTCAGTCCGTCATCGGACACGCGTGTTCTACAGCGTTCTTTGTTATAGGGCTGGATAATTGGTGTCAGGATGCCGGCGCTTGGAGGTCGTGAGCGCCACTGCGTCGTCCGTCGTTCGCGGATACGGTAGCCAATGGATGGACAGGAGGACGGACGGCAGGCGATGGGAGGGTTTAGGCCCAGGAGATCGGTTGAGCCTCAGTCCGGCAGGTGTTCAGTGGGTGGAAAATCGAGGCGTGGACGTCGCGTGCCGACGAGACACCGCTGTCAGCGACGACGTCGAGAGTGATAATGGTCCCGACCTGCCCCAGCTACGGTAGCATGCGCACCAGCACAGGAAACGCTGACAACTGGTTTTGTGGAGCATGAACTCAGAAATCTATTTTGCCTACAAAGTCTTTTTTCCTAATGAATTTGAAGGGTTGCAGCTAAAAACACAATGACGATGAGCAAGCAAACCACTTTTTTAAGTTCCAAACGTGTTCTTAAGCGCCATTAAAAATGTCTGCTCCATATATTTCCTACTTCTTCTGCGCAGCAAAATGAGCGATCGTCTAAGATTCCTGTGGCTTCCAGAAATTTTACTCTTAAAACAGAGGAATGAACAACCTGGATTTAATAACCTCAAAATTGATTTAAATGTATGTTTGTAATATTTTGCAATCCACCAAAAGCAGTTAGATAGAGAGCAGGCATGAATTTATTCAAATATTTCGTGTAAATCTCACTTATTTCTCCTAAAATCACGGGCAAACAAAGGAGTTTAACAACATGACGGGAAGAAGAAAAAGCCATAGTATCCCCAATGAAATAAATTTATATATCTACATCCTTGAATTCGACGAACTGTGAGACCAAAAAGTTTGAATTTTATTTAGTGTCCATTACTTTTCATGAGAGGCTATTATGTGATATCCACCCACAGTGATGCTCAACAAAACCCTTAACCACAGAAGAGCTTCGAAACCGCGCTTTGCCTTTCCTGCCTTTCCAGGGTGTCACCTGTTATCTAATGCACCACTGAAGCCCTTGCTGCTCCTTTCTTCCAGCTAGTCTTCGAATCTTTTTTGCCGTTAAAGAGTAATCGCGGGTTCAAAACTCACTTGGAGTTCCGATATATATATATATATATATATATATATATATATACTGAAAGTGCGCAACTTTTAGGTTGTTTTCCAGACAGTTTATCCATGCTCGCTATAACTCGGAAGATAAAGAACAGGAATTGATGAGAAACCTACAGCCAGCTTTTTGTTACACATTGAAGCGAATACGTTTTCTAGGGGCATGCAACTAACGACAAAGAAATTCGTCTTTGGCGTTGAATTTTATCGGCTGGTGATACCGTAACAAGAATTTCTACAAAATTACTGATTCGATTACAAACACCATGGAAAGCTCTTTTTTTGCAATGCAATTATGTAGACGGACCGCATTCTGCAAATTACTTGGATTCCGCCACTACCTACATAAATCGATCTTTGACACCAACCTACGGTAGGAAAACAGAACTCTTCAGTAAGTTTTGCAATGACGTCACTACCGTTTCTTTCGCAAAAAAACAATACGGAGGTATTTTTTTGAACTAATTGTCACTTTATTCTGAGCAATGATGCCATGAAAAGAATTTTCTGCTTTGTTATGTGCGGCTGGAATAGGCTAAGTACATTGAATGAATTGACACCTTTGCTTATCTTGCTAGTTTCCTACTACTTCTTCATTTAACTTTGTCTACGAACTCCGATTTCTATGAGGCCAAAAATGCAATAATAAAAAGTAGTGGGAAGTTTCCATAGTTTCTTGGACTTTTCAGTGTCTGATCGCCTGAATTTTATATGAAGGAAGCACGAACGTCACGGTTTGCCAGCAAGGCATAAGATATCAGTGATAGACGGCTACCGTACCATCAATTATCTGCTAACAAAACCGAACTTATTTTTAAGATTAACTCTTGTTGAGTTTTCTAAAACACTGTTCAACTCCTTCAGATTATGTGTAAAGATTGGGCGGAGCACAAAAAACGCTGTTCCGAGTTGAAAAGTCACTAATTACTATGAAGAAAGCAAATTGATTTTCCACCGTTAGCACCATAAAATCGTCTCATGGCAATTACATATTTTTGATCCACTTAAGGATTGATCCAGAACTTAAGCCACCGACATTGCCTTCGTCCATCACAGAAGTCGAAGAATCGAGACTAAATAAGCACGGGAAATTCTCCGAATAACAAAGTAATGTGTTTGCGGTGTGAAAATTTTAGCCTAGCAGGTTGACTGAGCGTTCATTCACACCACAGATGCAACGGGTTAATGGCCCATGAATCTCGCCCGTGCTGAGAATTATTTCAGGTGTGAGAAATCGCAGGCATCCAACGGTGTCTCCGTCAAATTCATAGCCATGTCCTGACCCAAAGATTTCGATCGCAATTGAAGATGGTTTGAAATTGTCAATTCAACAAATGCATGGACAAAGGAAAAACGGCCGTATCACTCACTCATTAAGGAAAAGCGGAACAGTGGCACAACATCAACACAAGGCATATCAAACGAAACGGTACCTATCTTCTACATAAATTAGACCGAGAAATCAAATTGTAAAGTACAGTAAGGAAAATTTTAAAAAGTGATTTACTTTTTATTGTGGTTGACGTGAAAAAGGATTTTCAGTGAAAGTCGACATTTCTTACGCTTTTTCATTCTTTCCTCTCGACGTTCACATCTACTTTAGATATCCCTTCCGTTCATACATTTTCGACCATTGCTCACTTTATTACGCAATTTGAAGTGTAACGAAGTCAACGATTTACAAATAGTTTCCGCCAGTCGAGATTTAACAATCATGCGCGCTTTTCTCACATCTCACTGTTTTAGTTTTAACCATAGATTCTAGAGCCTACATAAATATCTCTCATTTTTTGGTCTGATAACGACGGACTGCAGTATTTTTCAAGACGTCCATGGATTTTTCTCAGCTGTTCATTCACGATGTTCAGAAAGACGTCAACTGCTCACTCCACAGCTGTGGCAGACTGTAAAAGCCAGGTAGCACAAGGCCGTTGCACCTCGTAAAAGAACGATCAGAGGACGCATTATGGCCTCTTAGCGTGGTGGCGATGTGAACTGGAAGAGTTGCCAAAAAAGATCAAACAGACCCACAAAGCCGCTAGAGGTCATCACCCACGCAGTTGGCCAGCAAATTCATTGTGTTGGCTGGCTGTTGGCACTTAGTACTCCGTCTCGCACAAGTTACACTCCACGAAAGGTGACAATTAAGAGTACGGTAAGTAGTGTCTATAATGGGTTGCCTCAATGCGATGATGTGTGAAATAATATCAGTTGCCGCCTCTGAAGCTTACATTGAAGGTAATTCAAGAAAAGTTGGAAAGTAGTGAGAGGTTTCGAAGATGGTACGACGGTCCGTAGTCGCAAAGGCTGCAACGACGGCCGCTAGACGTTACAAAAATCGAAAAAAAAATTGATAGTATTCAAATAAACGCTTCAGATAAAGGCAATCAAAATTGGTGTGTTGCTGTTAAAGAGTTATAAAAACAAAAAATTAAAAACGCTTGTGGCTGGGTCACTCTTAAACTTCTGTTAGACCAATAGAGGTCAAGACCATTCCGATGATGAGATGAAGCATGCAAAAAGTTCCATTAGTAATGTTTGCGGATATGAAGTTCGACGAATCGGACCCAATAAAACTGGATAAAGTGATGAACCTTAGAAAAGTGGGAAAAACTGCTGAGGGCACAGAAGTGGGGTTTACTGATACAATTGTCCAACTCGTCACGAAAATCCATCCAAATAGGAAGAAATGACCTCGCAACTTCCTGCTGACATACTGACAAGATGCGCCATCAGATACGAGCCAGGCATATGTTGTCTTGAGCTGATTGACGTAAGGCGCGATACGATCTGCCACCACCTGCGCAGGTGGTCAGCATGGAATGACTTGGAGAAAAAAGAGAGGACGACTCGCCAAAATGAGTGGAATGGAAAAAATAGTACTCAGTGGTTAGGAAGGCAATTAACTTCACGGTGGAGGCACTAGGAGATAATTGGCAATTGAAACGAAATCACTTGAGAGCTGTGAAATTTGGTTCGCTTAAAATTGTTCCGGTACAGGACAGAGTAGGTCTAGACTAAGAATGATTTTCTTAGAATAGTAGCGATTTTTTTCTGTTTAGAATCGATTCCAACTGTCATCCTAATGGCCACATGGATATGGATTTTATTCGAAACCCTGGGTTATTTCCAACATTTCCATTTATTCTGGAATTTCTTCAAACCCGGCATATCTTATATCTGCAAAGTTATAAGTCAATAAAGAAGGAAGAAAAAGTGATGAATAATGAGGACCGAAAAATGTTTTGGTGCCACCAATGTGTTTGTGCATTCAATAGAGCACCCTTATGTTCACAAATCGCAGCCAGTAAGTGGAATTAGTTAGAAGCGAGAAATCCAGCGGTGAGCGGATTCGGTAATGTGACGACACATGTTAGAATGTAGTGCCCCATTGTGTCGGTGGCCTAGGAGCAACGACCCATACGAAGATGAGCTCAAGTTGACATCACTACTACAGTAATAACAGCGAGTGTGCAAAATTGCCGGCAATTTCCCAATTCGATTGGCAGAATCGATGCGAATAGTATGAATAGAATAAAAATTTCAAAAGAAAAATATGGGAGAAAAACGCAGACCTGGGTTTGTGTGAGCCCTAGTTCGGCAGCTAAGCTTGCTCGATCGGGTAGCGCTAAGTACTGCGTTTTTGTAAATCTGAAATGGCGGATTTATCGAAAAGAAGCATGTGAAGTAAAGAAATTCTTAATAAGCACAGCACTCATAATATTTGCAAGATCCACGTAATACAAGAAGAATACAACTGGATAACGAACCGTTTTTGGAGGGTCTGTAATTGTTGACTAGAATAGATAGTACGTGGTTTTCTCACTTTCTTTCCTTTCCCATTAATCTTCACTTCTCCACCCTCGATAATCTTCGTTGTCAGCTGATCTAAAAATAAGGCGAAAAATATTGCACCTAGCAATCTATGCTAAATCGTAACGGCAATACTTTCTGCGCGTTCTTTAAGCAACCGGTGATGGACAAACCTTCAGGTGAGCTCGCAGCTGCTTGTGGATACATAAAATGTGCCGGTTGTTGGGAATACATTGTCGATGTGGTGCTCGTTGAAAAATTGTAGAAGTACGGCGATACTTGCGACCGTGCCGAAAAGTCCTGTGCAGCAGCAGTCGGATAGCAGTAGTTACCGTAGTCGACAAACGGCTTCTGATCCATGTCCATCTACGGATCTTACGAAATACTTGCGTTGGTAGTTCTGGTGGCGACCGGATTTTAAGAATAGTTTTAGTTGTGGGTTGATTTAGTATGGAGTGAATGAGGCGTGAATGAGGGAGAGACGGTGGCGTGAGTGCCTTCGAATGGTACGCAGCCTATGTGCGGAGGTGGGGCGACGTGCTGCGATTGGTTAGCCGGGCGTCGTCGCCTCGGGCCAGACCCCGCCCGGCTGCATCATGACCCGCCCTTCTGAATGCGTTATAAACATCAAAGAAAGATCTCGGAGAGCGTTTAAAGTGCGGAAATAAACGAAATTTTTTCACAGAGGCGATTATAACACGACATAGTCAGTGCATTACCGCCGGTTGCATGGGAATCAGCAATTTTCTGGGGTGGTATTGCAGCTAATTGGAGGTCGGCCGACCGTCGGCATACACCGCCAATCTTCCGTGGGCGATTTTGAGCCATGGTAAATTTGTCGTGGTGTTCACAAAGCCTTTCAGACATTCTGTTAATGGCCAGCTATCTCACTATAATTCGTTGGAAGGGGGAATACGCACCAACCCTAGAGTTTGGACACTTTTTACGATTTCTTTAGAATTACCATCAAACGTTTCAGTCGAAAACTTCTGAATTCTACTAATCCAGTTATATTTTTTCTCAACCTCAGGTAGAATTCTGACCTCATAATGAGTCACAATTTTTTGTGTGAATGATGGTACGACTTCTTTGTAAAACTAGGAGTGAGGCATATTCTTCGTCTTCAACAATGATTCTTTCAAGCATGTTCTTGTTCGCACTAGCTCACTACATAAAGTGCAGATCACAAAAGTTGGGAAAATCGTCGCAAGAAGTAAATCCATGCGTCATGAACGGCAGGAAATGCTGTGTTGAATGTTTTTTAGGCAATGATTAGGCTAAAGTGCTGCTGAAAACTAGCGCCCAGTGGGCACGAAATTGCCGGCAAAATGACACATAATTTGCGGATAGATGCTAATAATTGACTGGAGCGAACCACAGATGCCTTCACTAACTCCCTTTGCTACAACGACGACGGTCGGCTGATCTGCAAATCCCTACACTCAATCCCGTTATACCTGATTTAATCCATGATAGAAGTTGTATACTTCCGTAGTTTTAAACGATCTTCTTGAGGTCTCATAATTTTAGCAAGAGAATGCCTTGTTGGCAAACCTGAGACCATAGAGGCGTCAGGTAATCCAGTTAGTTAGGAAGTCGCTCCAAAAGTCCCAAAGTACACCGCACGCTACAAATTATACACAAAATAGCACTACACCCAGAATTTGGTCAGTGGGCAATAAAACTCAAGAATTCATTGAAACTTCAAGCCTAATGATTTTCATAAGCCAATAACTCTTATAGCATGTACTAGTTGATTTGTAACAACTTCATGAACTGGATAAATGTTGAAGTGTTGTATTAAGCCAAATACCGAAAATAATGAGGATTTTCATGTTAAGAAAGCGGGACGAAAATTTGGTTTTGACATTGGTTGTGAAAAATTTTCGGAAGAACAACGTCATCTTTCTCGTTTCCTACTTAGATCAATTTTCTTAACATAATTCCTCGTCACAATGCCGTTTCCTTTTTCTCTATTCACAAGCTCTTTGTCCCCAGCAAGTCCATCAATATGAAGCGAAGAAGTATAAACCGACTGCATCCTCTGAAACCGCTCACCCTGTGCGGGAAGTCAAGGAACAATTTGAACTAGGCGCTTGCTACGGCGCCAACATGTGGGCATTCCGTTACACGAAATTGCCACCCGCAAAGCAATCGACAAAATTACCGTATTATTAGCAGGTGATTGGCCATAATTTGGTGGGGAGTCGATAATTTGCCCATTTTCCCTCTATCTCGTCTGTTCTTTCACTCCGCACTCATTCTCCCCAGTCGTTTTCAAGCTCCCTTCTCCACTCAATGAACTGTACTTGCCGGCTGAACAGCAACGCTTATCCATATGCAGCATGCCTAGCATGGTTGGCTTCAGTTGTTTTCTGAATTCTCACTTAGCGTTGTTCCAATAGCGATTTTATAAAAACCAACATGGACTTTTCTAACCACTCCATTTTCTTAAAGCTCTTGATTATCTGTTAATCCCTACGGACAAGTGGGAAGGAATTCTGCTGTAACGGCATAGAGTGGAAGTTACCAACTAGAAGAAGGAAGTCTAGAACGTTTCAGCTTTTAGCAAAAAATTCTTAACAGGTTCTTCCCTTGGTTGTCTTCTTTCTTACGCTATTGTTTGATTTTACCCGCTGACCAAGTTCGTTTTTTTTCACAATGAATAGCGCACCTTTTAAAGAAGTTTATGTCGTGCATTCGATGTAGCACGAAAGATTTTCACCTTTGAAAGTATTGTTAAGTTGTTCACTCCACCATGAAAAGTTGCTTAAAAGTACTTTATTATCCAAAAGGTTTTATTTACAGACATGAAAAGAATGAACCACAGAGCTTCATCATTCTTGAACAATCATTCATTCATCATTCATCATTGTCCTAGTTGAACTGTCTGCATCATTTTTGCACACATCTTTCCCCTTTCAGTTTTTGCCTCATTGAGGAACTTATTCTCATCGTCCTTTAATGGGCTTTGTTCTTCAAAAATTATAAGTGAAATTATCGATTGGATGGAGGGTTTGAGCAAGACGGCTAGAGAGTGTTGGAAAAACGGAGCTAACAGTGATTTTCAATCATTCTAAGGAAAACAGCCCATACTCTGTAGGAATACAATTTTACATAGCTTTCTGTTTTGTAACGGCTCCGAACCCTTGTCTGCTGTGTTGAAAGGACTTAAATAGTGGTTTTAGAGAAACCTTAACCTTTTCATTATTTAAAAAGAGCTCGATACTGGAACAGCCCCTTCTCACATCACTTGATAAAACCTCTCTTCTTTTTCATTGTCATTTTTTTATTCTTTTGCTTTACGTCCCTCTTCTTTTTGTTCTTCGAATGTGCCTTGCTGTCGTGAATCAATTCCAGCAGACTACTGTAGTGCTTGTATTCGTGGTATGAATCGATGAAAAGAACTCGAATTCTGTGTCATCTCCGTGTCTTTAGCCGTCTAGTTTCTCTTGGTTCATTCTTGATCCTTCTCGTCTTTTCTTCGTCCAAATCTCCCGCTGTTTTCGCCATTGTATACACCTCATAATTACACGATCAAGGGCTCTGTCTGACCCCTTAAACCGCTCTAAGAGAAGCACAAGAGCCATATTCAACCATAAGCCTTTAGCAAACAACACTTAGCAAGTGAAGCCGGTTCTGTACCTTCACTTCAAAGGAATTCGTTACTGAGATAAATTCAGGTATTCGTGAATACCAACCGAATGGTGAAATAACGACCAACCACAGGTTATCTGAAGGATCACACATTTCGTAACCATTTTAGAATTTGGACTGTTTTCATTCACAACGTTTTACGGATGAGCACTTCCAATGCCATATCTTCTCAATCGAAATTTATAGAAGGCTCAATGAACTTTTTAGAAGAGTGACCGAATATTAGCCATGGCATCCATGAAAGCGGATATTTATTTCGTGTTTCTATTTCTGTTCAAAGTGTTCCCAGATGAAGCCCCTCAAAAATGTGCTAAAATTTTATCAAGCAGAGTCAGTGAATTGGTTTTTCTTTCACTCCTCAACTTCTTCAAACGAGGTCAAGTCGCTGTCTTGCGCTGAGGTGGTAGGGACAGTTCTGAACCGACAACGGATCTTCGCAGCAGAGACAAGCGACGCATTGGATTTGAGGTGTCTAGGAAGATTCCGAGATTGGAATCCTGGGTCAACCCTTCATTACAACCTTCATCTTGGCTTGGGCCGGGTAATAACGCCATAAAATCCAGTCTGTTCGCATGTAATTGACACCTCTTTCGCCAGCAGACACACAAACACCTACATAAGCCAGCCATTCCATCTATGTTCTCTTGTCGATGTAACCTGGTCTTCATAGTTCTTATGGCATAGCTTTCTTGCAACAGCATAGTCTGCCTCATTCTACAACAAATGCAAAATTTTCGGCTGGTTTTTGTTTTGACGCCATGACATAGTGTTTCGAGCGGTGCTGCATGGACCAGTTTATATATCGTCTTTCTGAGGGTACTGTAACATTTTCAACGATACGAAGTTTGGCATGTGGCTGGAAATGCGTCCAGAACACGCTCCGAAGTGCTGGTTTATCCAACAAGTTATTATTGCCTCTGTATAGGCATATGAAAAAGAATCAATACGCCAACTTGCACTGGAACTAAAACCTTACAGTGTGCGTCTTTAATGCACACTAGTAAGCCTTTGAATTTTAGAGAATGTCATTTTTGAAAGTTACACTTTCTTCAGGGTTTATTCCCATATGGTTTCGACCTTAGCGCTCCACTTTTTGCACCAATTGCTGACCAACCATTTTTATAATCCGTGAATGGCCTCTCATTTAGCTCTTCTACAAAACTTTTGCAAAGCCTCCTGTTCTTTTGAGCACAGTTTTCAAAACATTACATTGTTCACTGGTACGGCAACTACGCTTGTTTTGAGTGCTGTCTTTGAAACCTCTACTGATCAGGAAAACATCATAAAGTACTGTAAGCTCTTTAGCGTACCCTTTCTTAGCCTTTAGCGGCACCAGTGGCTAGATAATCGTTCCCGAATCACAAAATCTAGAACGTAGCTGCGGGAGAGAAAAAAGAGCAAATGTGAGTTGGTTGGTAGCCTCGAGCGCCTATGCCACAAGCACTACCTGAGGTCCTGTGCCAGTAGCATTCGATGAACCACCTGTTGAATGACGGCAAGTGGTTCCTCAGCGGGTGGCCCTCTTTATTCTCCAAAGACAACTATAGAACTAGCAAACTCAAATGCAAGTGGTAAGTCAGTGGACTCATGAAATGTGAAGTAGGTAGGTGGATAAGCTGACATTTCGTACTGTGGCTACTCTGCAGCTGTTTAAATAGATATGAGCCTATTTCTTAACATCGCTTTGCATAAGCCTCGCTTGC